ACACGTTAATGGCGCTTCCACTGAAACATCGGACAAGAGGCTTAAAGAGAATATTCAAGAGATCAATATTAAGAAGTGTGTAGATGTCATTAAATACATCAAGCCTAAAACATACAATTATAAAGGTCATGATAGAAAATGCGTCGGTTATATTGCAGACGATTTTTTAACGAAGAAACTACCGGATGAATGGGGAAATATTATATATGAATGTGAAGACGATTATTTAAGAATGGACTATGGAAAGACAACTCCAATTTTATGGAGTGCTTTACAGTATGCTTTGAACAAACTTGACAAACTTGAAAAAGAAATCAGAGCGTTAAAGGGAAAAGGGAAAGGGAAAAGCGATAGTGATTAATAATAGTTTTTTCTGAATAATACTATTATTAATCTTGTTCTAGCGATTTTAAGTATTCTTGGTGTATATCCTAATATGTCTTTTCTTTAAACAGTTTCATCTTCATCAACTTTAAATACATGGTCTAGGTTTATATAAAACATTTCGTTAATGTCTTGTGACCTTAGCTTAATAAAGAAGAATGAATAGGGCTTGAAATTCACTGCTTGTTGATACATATCATACAAGCGGTGTTTGTCCACCAGTGCGGAATTTTCCTCACTAAAAGCATCTACTTCGCGCATGTTTCTTAACTTGAAGATGTATAATGAACTAGAGTTTAAACGAATTATAGGAGCCACAGCATTGTATTTTTGAACTGATGTTAGAACTGATATTGCATTGTGACGGGATTTTGTATATAAGCCATGCAATATCTTAGAATATTTCATGAACCGCTGGTCTTCTGCAAAATCGTCAATTACGATAAGCACCGAAAACAGGTTTTTAATCTTGTTCTTCTTCTGGTATTCCACTACCTTATGTTGGGTGTCAATGATGTTCTGTAACGCTGTTGAATCATAATCATCAAATAGATACCTTTCTTTATCATTGTCAACTTTGAGATGGTCGGTTATGTAACGCTTGACCGGAATCCAATTATCGTCAACTGAAGCAGTCGGGGAGAAAATATAGATGCGTTCAAAACAGTTCTTGTAAAGTTTCAAGATTAGGTTCTGTAGTAAGATTCCTTTGCCACCTTGACTACTTGCACAAATAATTGATCTAAAAGGCAACTTATCCGCGACATCAAACTTAGATTGTTTATATTCATAGGTTTTTGGTTCTATAGGTTCAATTGAAGGTATATTATCACTCATTACTTAATAAGAGAAAAATATCTTTTAATATAATAATGGAGAAGTATATAGAAACGATACAGGAAATTGAGGAAATTGAGAAAGTTGTAATACAAGACACCAAGCTTAAAAGGTGTTGCACCGCTTCTTTAGAATTGCTTAAAGCAGTTCTTGAGTATTTAAAAAAATCTAAGAAAGTTTAATGAGTGATACAACAGAAGACGAAAGCGAGAAGAACAAAGGTTTTCATATTGATAAGAAGGGCTTTCACTGCATACCTTGCCGCTGCAAGAGACAATTATATCATAAGGAGACTAAGACGGTCAAGGAGAACGATAAAGTGACAACTAACACTGTTGTAGATAAAAGAAACCTAAAATTTGGAGGTCGTAATGTTTCACCTGATGAAATATTTAGAACCGATGAGGCAGAACAAAGGGGGTCAGTTGCAATATGCGAGACTGGATGGGGTCAATCGCAAGTGACACCCGAAGAACTAGAAGATAAAATAGAAAAGCTGGAATCCGAGGTTGAAAGGATAGACAAAGATGTAACTATTTTGAAGAATAATTTAAATATTATGGATTAAAAAATCTAGTTTACAATGACAGGCCATCTTGGCATAAAAAAAAAAAAGCCCCAATCAAAACAGAAGAAGGAAGTGAGCCAATGCCCCCGTGTGCCTAGCAAGTTCTACAGGTTCATAGGCAAACCATACGAGTTTGGTAATGACATTAATTCGTAATTAGTTTCGTTAAATCTTAAGGAACCAGTGCAAATTTTCATAATATCGCATTATGAAAAAGTGTATATAATAATAATAATGCCAGTAAGAGTAGATAAGATATTAGTTGATTTTGAACCATATACTGAAACAAATAATGTTAGCACTAGGATGTGTTATCGTTGTAAGCAAGTCAAAGAAATTGATTGTTTCAAGCGTTGCTATTGCGCTGGTAAGCATTCTTATTACTATGTTAAATATATTGCGACTTGTTCTGAATGCTTGGATAAATCTGTCAAATAAACCGCGATGCAGTAAATCTTAAGAAAATAATATTTCTGAGGAAAATGACTTAAAGAAATAACAACTTATATATTATCGTGGTAATGAGTGAGAGCGAATATGAAAGTGAGAGTGAATATGATGAAACATATTTGTATAATCAGATACACAAATTTAATTATTTCAATAGATGTGATGAATGTAACCCAGTTAAGAACATACAGAAAATATTACTAGGAAAATGCGATATCTTACATAGCTTTAAAAATCAGATTGTAGGTTACTACGGTTGTGATAAATGTTGTGAGTTAAGAAATTTGTTTGATGATTATATATTACCCTTTACTAAGTTAAACAAATACCCAGAATATGATGAAGTTCATGAAATAATGCGAGATGATGTTCAAAGGAAAGATTATACACTTGAGTTACATATTGAAATGAAAACAATGTACGAGAACCTAGATACATTTGACTTCTATCAATGGCATCAGGAGAAAATGAATTATTATAAAGATATTTTAGGTGGTTATTTTCATTATTATCAAAGAGTATATCATATTTTTTTGGCAATAGTATATCATTTACAATATCGTGTAAAAATAGACAAACAATTACATTATGATTATCTAGAAGCAACCACAGAGTTCTTAAATGAGATGATAGTTCAAAATTCCAATTAAATAGTCTCCTCACCAGCATAGTTATAGTGTAATTATAATACATGTAAATCTTAAGAAAATGATATTTCTGTAAAGAAATATTAACTTATATATTATCGTGGAAATGAGTGACAGTGAATATGAAAGTGAGAGTGACGATGAAACAGATTTGTTTTATAATGAGATACATAAGTTCAATTATTTCAATAGATGTGGTAAGTGTATCCCAGTTAAGAACATGCAGAAAACTTTACTAGGTAAGTGTGATGTCTTAAATATTTGTAAAGATCAGATTGTAGATTACTATGCTTGTGACAAATGTTGTAAGTTAAGGAATTTGATTGATGATTAAAATATTACCCTTTACTAAGTTAAACAAATATCCAGACTATGATGAAGGTCATAAAATGAAAATCTTTATAGTCAAAAAAGAGTATACACTTGAGATACATAACGAAATGAAAACAATGTATGAGAACCTAGGTTCGTTTGACTTCTACAAATGGCATCAGGAGAAAAAGAATCATTACAAAGATATTTTATGTGGTTTTTTTCATCATTATCACAGAGTATCTAAGTTTTTTATTGAAATAATATATCATTTACATTATTATACAAACAGAGACAAACAATTACATTGTGAGTATTTGCAAACAACATCACGGTTCTTAAATGAGATGATAGTTCAAAATTCTCAATAGATAGCCCTCAAATAGCATAGTTATAATGTAATTATAATACATAAGCAGTTATATATTATAATTACAGTGTTGTTACAACCCTTAACCCTAAACCCTGAACCAAATTCTACAAGGACCCCCTTGCCCCTTTTGAGTAATAATGCCACCTTAGAAATTATGAATGGGATAATGGTTATTCCTAGAATTGTATTGATAATGGGGTTGTAGTGGTGATATATCGGTGAAATTTAGGGGGGATCCTAGGAATGATTATCTAATGGGGGTAGTAGTAGTGATTTATCGGTGAAATGTAGGGGGGACCCTAGGAATGATCATGTAATGGGGGTAGTAGTAGTGATTTATCGGTGATGTGTAGGGGGGAGTATAGGGATAATCATCTAATGGGTTGACGGTGGCATTATTACCCAAACTGGGCAAGGTCTACTCTGACTAAAAAGGGGGCGGGGCTTCTAGGATTCAGGGTTTAGGGGTTAGGGTGGCTTCGGGCTGTAGCAAGAAGATTGAGGGGTTACAAAGGCGGTCGGGTTTGGGATTCTCCTATACCCCCACCTGAACGGTTTAGGGTTTAGGGTTTAGGGTTGAGGGTTGGGTTGAGGGTTGAGGGTTTAGGGTTTAGGTTTAGGGTTTAGGGTTTAGGGTTTCGGGTTTTTAGGGTTTAGGGTTTAGGGTTTAGGGTTTAGGGTTTAGGGTTTAGGGTTTAGGGTTTAGGGTTTAGGGTTTAGGGTTTAGGGTTTAGGGTTTAGGGTTTAGGGTTTAGGTCTTAGGTCTTAGGGTTTAGGGTTTAGGGTTTAGACATGATAACATGACAGGCGGGCCAGACTGTAAACGAGCCTTGCTTGGGCCCTTTTCGATTATGGGTGAAACCCTCATCCCGTCAACCCTAAGCTTGTATGGGATCCCACATTTCTGGGTAAACCCTAAACCCGAAACCCTAAACCCCGAAACCCTACCCCTAAACCCTAGCCCTAAACCCTAAACCCGAAACCCTAAACCCTACACCCTAAACCCTAAACCCTAACACATTATGGGTCCCAAACCGATCCCAGAGCACCTGGGCTTTCAGCTTCTCTGCCAGCTGCGCCTGCGACTCTTCTGACAGCTTGGTCAGCATCTCCTCGGCAGTGGCCCCAGAACCCTAAAATGTCTGGTTTTAGGGTTTAGGGGGTTTAAAGTTTAGGGTGTAGGGTTTAGGGTTTAGGTTTAGGGTTTAGGGTTTAGGGTTTAGGGTGTAGGGTTTAGGGTTTAGGGTTTAGGGGTTAGGGTTTAGGGTTTAGGGGTTCGGGGTTCGGGGTTAGGGCAGGAGACCTTTCTTCAAGCTGGCGACAGGCCGCCCTACTAGTGGGGCTCGGATCCCCACTGTGAGCGTCCCGTAAAACCCTGAGCCCTCCAAACCCTACGCCCGAAGCCCAAACCCTCTACCCAAGAAGGGGCCTAGGACCCTGCATCCGGGTCCTGCCGACTCTTGATCTTTTCCAGCCGTGACCTTGGGAGTTCGGGCTTAGGCTTGAAGGGTGTGGGAGAGGGGTTCGATGAGTGATTCGGGGGCTGGGCACAGAGGGTTAGGAGGGGCGTAGAGCTTGGGGTCTATGGGGTTTAGGTTTTGGGTTTTGGGTTTAAGGTTTAGGGTTTAGGGTTTAGGGTTTAGGGTTTAGGGTTTAGGGTTTAGGGTTTAGGGCTCGCGGCTCCCAGGCTCTGAGGGGAGACTTGTCACAAAAGAGGCATCCGGGGCGCGAGCCTGTTGATGGCGGTCGACCGCGCAATGGCAGCCTCGTTCGATCCACGCACATGTTTAGAGAAGAGATAACTGCAGCTCCAGCCCTAAACCCTAAACCCTAAACACTACTCAGAATGAAAGGGATTTCTTGCGGAAGACTCGGGTTTAGGGTATGGGGCTCGTATACGGCTCGAAGCAGGGTGACAAAAAACCCAGCAGCATGGTCAACCAGAATCGAGCCCGGTGGTTTCGTGAAGCTGACAGTGTCCGAACATCTGCACACGACTTCCCCCGGCGTCGCGTCCTGCGTCTCGATCTGCTTTGTCTTCCTTGCATACTCCTCCACATGCCAAAGCCATACACGAAGAAAACTCGGAGCTTAGTCTGGAACTCTCCCGTCCCTTTTGCCATGCTACCGCAAGAGCCCGAAGCCTAAATCCTAAACACCTGAACATGCCCCATTGTCTTGGGATGTTTCCCTTGATACGAACAGTCCTTAATGGGGATTATAGTACCCCCTACAATAATATCATCCCTGTGAAGGACTGTTCGTATAAGGGGGAACATCCCTCATATCCCTGAATCGACAGTAAACCCTGAACCCTAAACCCTCAACCCTGAACCCTAAACCCTCAACCCTGAACCCTAAACCCTAAACCCTAAACCCCAAACCCTAAACCCTAAACACTATATAAACCCTGTCCTGCTGGATCTTCTCCTTCATGGAGTTCACAATCTTCAAGCGTTCAATGCTTTCTTCCTCTCAAGGTTTAGGGTTTCGGGTTTAGGGTTGCGGGTTTAGGATTTAAGGTTTAGGGTTTAGGGTTTAGGGTTTAGGTTTAGGCTTTATGCTTTAGGCGTTAGGCTTCAGGCTTTAGGCTTCAGGCTTCAGGCTTTAGGCTTTAGGCTTTAGGCTTTAGGGTTTAGGCTTCAGGCTTTAGGCTTTAGGCTTTAGGCTTTAGGCTTTAGGCTTTAGGCTTTAGGCTTTAGGCTTTAGGCTTTAGGGTTAGGTTTTAGGTTTAGGGTTTAGGGTTTAGGGTTTAGGGTTTAGGGTTTAGGGTTTAGGGTTTAGGGTTTAGGGTTTAGGGTTTAGGGTTTAGGGTTTAGGGTTTAGGGTTTAGCCATATCCAACCTCTATGTACGTCATACAGCAAACCCTACTCTAAACGTCGGAAAGAGACTATTGCAGCAGGGGAGCGTTGCAGATTTAGGGCAGGTGTTTTGGCACCATCCTAAATAGCCTAAACCCTAAACCCTAAGCCCTAGACCCTAAACCCTAAACCCTAAACCCTAAACCCTGAGGCAGCCTGCCTGCAGCGCTTTGGTGTCGATCTCTTCAGCTTTATCTCTGGCCTGGCAGCGTCTCAAAGGTTTAGGGCTTAAGGAGGGTTTAGGGTTTAGGGTTTAGGATTTAGGGTTTAGGGTTTAGGGTTTAGGGTTTAGGGTGTAGGGTTTAGGGTTTAGGGTTTACGATTCAGGGTTTAGGGCCCCCAAGACCCCAACCCTCAACCCTCAACTGAGTTCTAAGACTTCAGGCTTTCCGATGGCAGGGTCTCAAGCTTGAGGCGAACTGGCAATCCACCTCGTTCAGGATGAACTGCGTCATTTGCAGGATTTGCGCCTGAGTCTCCTGTCCAAACAGCCCCAAACAGATGTTGTTGCCTGCATTGTGGCTACTACCGTTGTTCTCTGTTACTGCTGCTAATGCTGTTATTGTGCTCTTGTGATTTTTTGTTATATTTTCGTTTGTATGTTAATTATTGCCATTGTTGTTAGTACGTCGTTGTTGCCAGTACGGTCTGCACTGCTCTCATCATTTCAACTATTTCCATTACCTCTTCGTATTGCCATTTAAACAACTTGTTACTGTGCATACCATGATTGCTGGCATTAAGCTGGTCCTCTGAGACTTAGGACTTAGGGCTCAGGATGTATTGGATATGGTCTCGACAGGAGTGCCAATCGGCGGTCCTTTGTAGAGGCGTCCATGGTGCTCTATCTCCCCCTAAGCGGCCAGCTAGCTACGTCTACCACTGAACCACAATGGCTTACCCGGCCACTGAGCTTGCATGCTGATGGGAACGACAAGTCACACACACAGCCCCCATGCCATCACAAGTGTCAAGGAAGGGACCAAGCCCATAGCAGTGGCATTTTGGACATCTTTGGCACGCGTCGTCTGGTGTGAAACCCGAAACCCCGAAGACTCTAGACAACGCCTAAACCGGCAAAAGAATATCCAGGCCTGAAACAGCAAACTCTAAGCACGTGCCCCCAAACAGCAAACCCTGAATCCTTCAGACACTGAAGAGGAAGAACCCTACAGAAACCAAAATCCTCAGGCAACAGCTCAACTACGACGTGACCTCGGCTACACATGGAAACGAATTTCAAAAGAGGGTAGATTTCACAAGGTTTTAGGGCTTGGTTTAGGGAGTAGGCTTTTGGGATTCGTGACAGTTCCCGCTGCCTTCACACCTGAAGATTCGAGAGCCACTCTGGGCCTCCGACCATCAGCCCGCCTGGCACACGGAGATCTGCGCTCACCGGGTTAGGTTCTTTGTTTTTGTAAATCCGTGTGTTAGGATCTTTCTGGGTAGCTTAGTCTGGTAGGATCCTCACAGCTGACAAGGTTTTAAGGTTACGGTGTAGGCGTTTACGGGTAGTTCAGGCCGATAGGATGCTCAAACGCTATCAAGGGTTTCGGAAGGAGGGTGTTCAGGCTCTGGACTGGCCCAGGGCCCAGGGGCCCACTGGGGAAAGCACCTTCCCTCACCCGATCCACCCCCCCCCACGCGCCCGCGCACCTTTTGAGTCTGGCGACCAAGGTTACCGGAAGCTCAAGGGCATCTTGAAGGTGATTGACAGCCATCTGGCAGCCACCGCAAGCGCATCCCCGCAGCAAGACAGCTTTCCACCAGGGGGGTTCCCGGCAGCTGTCCGGAGGAGATGCTAAGAGCGATGGCCGTGCGCTGGCCCAATTTGGGCAGAATCACGGCATGACGCATTGAAAGGAAACGCAGTGTCTCTGAGGCTTCATCTTAAGAGGCTTCTGAGGTGCCTGAACGGGCGGGGGGGTTCACACTGCGTTCCCGGTTTGGGCATCACGGTCAGGGCTCTAGGGTTTTGGGGACTTCTCGCTGGCAAGCCGTCGACCTCTAGCACCACGCCCTCCTTCAATCCGAAAGACCTCTCCATCCCAATCATCCCAGCATTGAGAAATCCCCCTCGGCACAAGCATGCTCGGGGCGCCAAGAGTCAAGAGTCCTGTTGGTCTCGTAGAACACTACGCAGAAAAAACCCCTTCGCACCCCTTGCAGGAGGGCAAAAACACTACTAGTTACTTACTAGAGCGACAAGGGGGCGCCTCCCACCGTTCTTATTGGGCTTATGGCCCGGTCGATGGAATGCTGAGGGTTCAGGAAGTGACTCAGCGAGACGGGAGGGCTCGTGCGCATCTGAGCCCTTGCCTCAGGACAACCGAAGCTTCGCATCTGGTCCTTTGGGGGCTCCTTTCCCCTTTCTTGTCAGTTTGTTCTTTCCAGAGGCATGGGCGTGAGGGCCAAGGTCACTTAAAAGGAATCGACCAATCTTTGGAGGAAGCTCAAGGGCATCTTAAGGGTGATTGACAGCCACATGGCCACCGCAAGCACATCTCCGCCGCAAGACAGCTTTCCATCAAGGGTTCCCGATTCCTCCGCTTTACACTAGAGCTGACTACAGCAACAAAAGTGGCTGCCCTCGAACGGTGCCCCGAAGCGGTGGCTGCGCTTTGCGAACTGACAGAGTCAGTTGAAGGTTTCGGGCGGGTTTAGGGGCTGAAGGTCCTCGGGACGGGCCTCTAAACCCCCATCAGCCTCCGGCCAAAACACGTCGTGGCCCGAATGGGTGGTGGCCACAAAGCCGGTTCCGAAGGCCGTCATGTCCCGCACTTGGGTCCTTGGCAGCTTCTAGCTTGAAGGGCTTCCAGGCCTTGGAAAGCCTTCAGGTGTTTTGAGGGTACAGTCATGTCCAGTCTTTATGGGTTCATAGAACTTTTTCATCGGGTTCAGAGCACCCTTCAAGAGAAACACGGAGAGAGAAACTGGAGGCCGAGAGACACCCATCGGTGAGGTCCCGGCGGGCCTCCCCAGGACACCACGGTGCAATCTGTGCGCAGCGCCGCAAAGGCCGTCGGGGAGGCGGCCAGCTTCACCACGCTGGTCAACCAAGGTTGAACCTTCCGGCAGTCACCACCGTAGTCCTGTGAACCCCAGACCACCACCGACATGTCCGAGCGCAAGGCTGCAAAGGCATGTTCGGAAGCCTCGAGTTGGACCACCCCTTGCCCTCCTTGCGGCCAGTCGAAGACGCGGTCTGCAAAGAAGCAGACCGAGCCCGTGTGCGTCCGCGCCGCGAAGTGGTGGTCGTGCACACCCTTGACCTCCTTCACGTTGCTCAGCGGAAGCACTCCGTCCATGACATAGTCCCCCCATCTCCCTCGGTTTCCCCATATCACGACCTGCCTCTCACTCGTGATCGCAGCGAACCCTGATTCGCAGCCCACGATCTGCATCACCCTCCTGGAACCCTCCGGCCTCAGGAGGTGCTCCACGGCTCCACAGTCGCCCCCTTCGCCCCGATCTCCCCAGCACACCACGGTAGAGTCCTTCATCAGCGCCGCGAACGCCATGTCGGTGGCTGCGACGCTCTGCACCTCCCATAGCTCTTTGGGAATGTGCCGACTAAGGCTATCAGGATCGTCACCGCCCCAGGTCACCAGCCCTCCGTCGTCCCGCACGGCCGCAAAGGACGACAAGGTCGCGACAATGTCCCTCACGTCACGAAGATGATGCTGCACTTGGCTGCAATCCCCGCCCAAGGTTGGGGATCCTCCACAACGCACGGAACCATTGCCGCCCAGCCACGCCAGGGCCCGATTGCAGGAGCCGCGGGTTTGCACCAGCCGGTCCTTCTTGACGATCACTGCTTGGATTGAGGCGCCGTCCTCCAAGTTCTGCTGGAAAGGGCTACGCTTAGGGCTGAAACTGCCTTTCGGGGAACATGCGTTTCTTAGGGAGGTTGGAGTTTGTTTAGGGTACCCACAAAAGGGACTGTAGTGTTGAACAGCCCCCCCCCCCCTGGGAGTCCTGCAGGTTTGCTTCCGCAATAGTGCTGGAGGGCTTGAGGCCTTGAAGGGCGTCGGAAATAAGCCAGCCCAGCCGATCCCCGCAGGACACTTTGCCAGCGACCCGAAAGGAGTAATCGGCCTCCAGGGATGAACACATTAGGGCGTGGGGGTTGGGGTTCTTAACGGCTTGAAGGGTTTCAGGGTTTGAGGGCCCCCGCCCTGTGGGGTTAAAAGGTTTAGGGTTTTAGGGTTCAGGGCCTACAGGACTCGTGTGGTCACCTCAGAAAAGGGCGCCCTGCCATTCTCCACTTGGAGGTTCCGGAATCCGTTGGGGTTGCGAAAGTTCAACCCCTGGTGCCTCCTGCGCCAGCGTCGTGAGCGTAGTCTCTGGGAGGACGTCGCCTTGAACTTCGTCGCCGCTCATCAGCACCACACGGACTCGTTGCGTCATGAGATCAGCAAAGACACCAAAGGCTTGAACTGCTGCCTGTGACTACGGAGGTCTTGACAACTACAACATGAGCTGCGATCCGGAAGCGGCCCGACAAAAATCGTGGACTGCAAGGGTTCAGGGTTCGGGTCTACTGCCATGGGCGCACGCACACACAATGGAAGGTCCACGCGTGACTCATCCAAAAGCATGGAGGGACACTTAGGATCCGCCGGCATGACTGCACTGTCAAGGAGTAGCAGCAACAACAAAAGCATGATTCTGATGGTCATACCTTTTCATCAAACACTCAAGCAGCGAACAAGGGACAACTCAGAACGAACATGCAGGACGCAGGTTTGCCATCCCGAAATGGACTCCTTTAGTTCTTTGAATCATGATCTCCAACAGGGTTCTCTCGTTCTAAGCCTCCAGAGACCTCTGCTCCATAAACTCTAAACCCTAAACCCTAAACCCCGAAAACTTCGAGGCCTCCATAGGCCGGACGCCAGAGGCGCGACTCCTCAGGGGTTGCCGCTGGCAGGCTCTTAGGCCATGGTCTCACGGAAGAAGGGCGGTTTAGGGTTTAGGGTTTAGGGTTTAGGGTTTAGGGTTTAGGGTTTAGGGTTTAGGGTTTAGGGTTTAGGGTTTAGGGTTTAGGGTTTGGGGTTTGGGGTTTGGGGTTTAGGGTTTAGGGTTTAGGGTACGGGGGCAACCGAAAGGGGAAAAAGAAGAATCTCAACCCTTGGCTGCCTAAATGAACTCCCTGAACCGAAGAACACAACACAGATCCAAACAAGAGCACCCGAAGGAGGGAGGGGGATATCCTTACCAAGGTAACCAGACACCAACCCCAACCCCAAACCCCAGGGCACTGCTTTTCGCTTTGAACAGCCGTTGTTAGTGGCCATTCTTGAGCCAAAATGTACATGGGTGTCTTCCCCTTTCAAACCTGCACACTCCCCCTGTCCTGAGCTTTCCTCAGGACACCATTGGAGGTGCAGGCTCCTTTTCTTTCTGGCCAAAAACTGTCTTCTAAACATATGTTTAACGTCCAATAGACGGGCCGTAGCCATTGGCTTGCAAACAATGGTTTAACGTCATCCAGGACGAGTGAACTAAATCACCTGTCTTGAAGACCTTTTTCGTCTTCTTCACCACAAACCATGGTCTTCACTACCCTACGGGTCATACATTCTCTACCATCAGGGATTTCCTTACCCTTAATGGCAAAAACCCTAACCCTTTCAGCTCGACGCATTGGTCTTTCCTCCAAACATTCTGCAAATCGTCACCATATCTTTGGAAAAGGATTCATCCTTTTGTATCCCATCCTTGAAAACCAGTCACTTCTTCACCTCCCGACCAGCTTCGCAGATTCGATGTAGCTGCACCAAGATGCTCTCAAGATCCTCGACCTGAACCAACGGATCGTTCAAGCACCGCTGAATAGAGGATACCAATCCTTCTCGCCGTGCTTCTTCTATCGCTCTACACGATGTGGTCACCTGTGTCGTTGTGGCAACCGACTCCGATGCAGCGGGAACAGAAGCTTGTCCCTTCTTTCCGGACTCTCCTCCTTCTTCTGGCGCTACATCCCTTCTCTTGGGACTTGATGCCTTCTCCTTCCTTGTGACCTATTTGCAGAAACACCAAGTTTTGACCGCGTCCGATGAGAAGACTTCTCCGCCTTGGGAATTGCCACCTTTTTTGACGACAAGCCCACTTCCCCACGATCCACATTGATTGGCCTTTTCTTAGGCTTTGGGGCAAGCACGGTATATTCTGGCACGACCTCCTCAACTGCAGGCTCATCAGCTGACTCTTTCTCCAATGGCCTTTTCTTATCACCTTTGGGGTCGCCTTCACCCTCCAGCTGAGCTTTTTCGTACCATATCCTCAATTCATTTGTCCACTCTTCCACCTCTGCCAGCGGAATATCACAGGATCTGACCACCTCGTACAATTCCAGCGTATATAACATCTTATCCGTCCATGAAAGCCACTCCTCATTTTTCTGATCCTCGTCAGTACTCCTCAAAAGCTTGAAGATTGGCTCGCCTTCCCAGCGATCGACGTCATCCCTCCCACCAGACATGTACGACACCGCTTCGGCAAGTAGGTTGCTTTTTTCTGTCTCTTCGTCATAAACCATCTCATCCTGCAAATCCTCCCCTCTTTCAGGAGAAAACCTCTTTCCACCATCGCCCTTCCTTGGACGATCCCTTGGCGGTGTAGCAGGCGACCTTGGCCTCTCATCGCGTCCAACATGCTCAAAGACGCATTGATTACCTCGCTTGCATTTTCCAGTTTGAAAAAACTGAATACATTTCACACCAGTCGCATCGCGCGCGTATTTGCAATCTTTACCAGCATGACACCCTCGTCCATCCACATCGTACCTACACCAGTACGAAGCTAACACCACATCCTCATTGGAATGAATAAATTTGCAGTTCTCACCAAACTTGCAGCGATCGTTCCCTTTGTTAAACCAATAGCAGATACCTTGCCTCCTTTTTGACAGGCGTTCTGCTTCAAGACGGTCCATCGAACGATCCCGCTCTACATGGACATTGCCATGACTTGGAGAACTACCTTCTTCACCCAAGGTGCTAGTTGTGGATGCTTCAGTGGAACTTCCTGGAAAACCTTTCTGATGCTCACGCAATCCCATGATTGGTTTTCCCCTGACTCCTGAGCCAAATACAACCAAACCATGTTTTTTGGGCATCTTCAGGGAGGTCTTCCTTACTCCAGAGTTCCACACCCGATTAGCTGGAATAGTTGTTCCAACAACCTGACTTCCAAATCTTCCAGCACGACACAACTTCCTTTGACCAGCCCTAAACCCTTTCCACCGAAGAGCTCTCAGGACTTTAGAGGCAGTTACGTTTTCCACCTCAACCTCTTCCAACTGTCCCTCACTTTCTGGAACAAACCCATCCAACTCACTCATATCTGAAGACATTTCCAACTTTTCTACCACCGCGTGATCGAGGTGATCTTCAGAAATCCAGGGCAAGTCCCCCTTTGAGGAAGTTGAACCATCACCATTTGTTGGTCCCTCGCCAGGATAATCCTTTGTGCCGTCAAAGATCCTCCCAGATGAACGGTCTTGGATCGAAAATTCCCAATTGGGAACAACCCTAGAACACAAGTTCCACAAGAGCATTCTTGTGCCAGACAGTCTCGACGTGCCACCGGTCGTCTCATCCTCCGGAGAAACCTCTGGCGCTTTGCCATCAAGTCCAGTGCCACCTGTCGTCACACCTCCAGCATCTTCTATAGGAAGAGGAGTTTCACTACTCCCTTGTCCAAAAACCGTTTCTGGCTGTCCAGGGACCTCCAACACCATCCCTGACGCATCCACCTCCTCATCATCATCCTCCATTCGTTTCCAGAGCTCCTCCAGTTCATCAGCACATGTGGCCGCTTGAAGGAATTCTATCAACCGATGCCTTCCATCTTGCCAGAGAAATTCCGTATTTACCACAGTCGCTTGGCCACCAAGGACAATGAACGGATGCACCAGTTTTGCTACCCAAGCCATCAACCCCACATGGACTTTGATTTCCGGCACTCGGTTCCAATCGAAAGCTATTGCTTCCATTGCAGTTCCAAAGGTATTTGTGCACCGGAACTCATGCTCTAGACCTGGCGATAGCAATACTCCCATAACAGAGAGCGGATAATTCCCCACTGCCGGCAAGCACGGATCGTCATGAAACGGATGATGTAATTCACCGTAATAACCTTGATCCCTCCTTTGAAGAAGGAGTTTCCCAGTTTCCAACCGGGCATTCATTTCCTCCACCTGAATCATTTCAGCACATATGTTTCGCGCTAACGACGCTATTGCGCCCCACACCGCACGATCTGCCAAACCACGGCGCATAACCCATTCAGTCGTTGGCGACTGTATCAACACTCGAGGATCATACGAAGTCAGCAGTGCTGTATTTTTCACCGTCGAAGGACTTGTGCTTTCCACCAGCGCGAGGTTCAACTCCCCCTCGCCCGAGCCACCCGTAGACGTACTGATGACCAAATTCCGGTCCATCTTATTCGATCCTTTCGGACAGTCCTTCTTCTGAACCGGTATCCTGCCTTCGGAGACCTTCCAATAGATCCTCTGGGGAACGCCCTTTGACAACGACAGGTTCCCATCCCTGCTCGTTTCGGCGCTACCACATCGTTCCAATTGATCAGCATGAAGAACATTGCTCCTATCTTCACCCACCTGTTGCCCAGTCTCATCGCCAGAAATGTGTACTGCTCCCTCTAACGCCGTCCCCTGTCCAGCATCATTTTGCCCAGGTCGAACTTTAGCGCTTTCAGACACATTCTCCTGTCCAGCAATACCTTGCCCAGGTAGCACCTCATCTTTGGAGCCCACCGCCAGCGAACCACGAATAACAGAACCATCCACGGTCCCATTAGAGACTGCCACATTTTGTTGCGAAGACGCTGACATCGAAAAATCTGAAAAACCTTGGCAGGTCTCCCCCCGCGACGCTTTGTAGCGCTTTTCGCCAAGCGCAGCTGATTTTTTATGCCCGTCATTGGAGCTGCGGTCTGGTATCTCGTCTCCTCTGTCTTGCGCATATCTCACTTGGTTTGCAACATGCACCAAGTAACGCAACCGAGCCAGTCGATCAGGAGACATTTCGTCGTGGGAAAATCTGCAGCCAGATCTCACACGACACCTCCCTTTGAGGTAAAAGTCATAACAGACATTGTGGAATCCTTCATCCCTGATGGCTTTTCGGGAAGCATTGTCCCAGGATTTGCCGGCCTCACGAGTCCCTTCTAGGACAGCCTTGTCATCATGGACAAACTTGCAGGCAAGTCCATATTTGCAACCATCATAATTCGCCCCATAATACAGACACAGCTGTTTCTTTGACTCCACCAATGTAGGCCCACCCTTTGACGCACCCTTGCCAAAATTGAACTTGGCACGGAAGGCTGCATCCTCCCGTTCCTCTTGTGCATCGTCCACAACTCCTTCATCAGTCGGAGGGCCACCAATGTCCCCATCCTCATCTCCAGCATTATTGCTGGTCTCCGATTCAGCTGGACCTCTCGCTGGCCACCCTTCACCATAGCGACGATGCTCATAGGTACACTCGTCTCCATTGCGACAGGCCCCTTGATTATAGAACCTGCACAGTTTGGTATACCCTTTCGACAAAGGTTTTGGCGTCAGGTAAACCTTTTTAACCTTTGAGGGATCCAAATAATCCTCTCTTGGCCTTCCCTCACTCTGCCGCATAGCTTCAATCATGTCATCCGTCTCCTGCAAAAACTTCTGTGAATCCAACCACAGTTCGTACCAAAACTCATCATCCCCTTTGTCCAGTATCTTTGCAACCGCCTCACCTGTAGCCGCCTCGCTGTACATCCTTTTTTGGCGTGCCAGGTCGAATAGGGCGTTGTGATACTGATCCCGGGAGTAACTCCCTTTTCTCCATCCTGCATCTTCTTGACCACTGGGTGTCCACCCCTCATCCAGCAACACACGAGCTTCATTTTCATCAGCGCAGAGTCTGCCACCAGCTCTTTCACTTCTTCCAGGCGGCGATCTAGCAACATCCCAGTGATCTTGCCCAGATATTCCTTATGTGCTGGTGCGTCACCAAGAAGCACTCTATAAATCCTTTCACCGCAGAGCTGCTTCTGAACGCCTTCCTCCCAGTCTTCAGCAAATACCCATTCATTGGCAGACCACCCATAACATTGCCACTCCTCCTCCTCCCAGCTCCATTGACCGTTGAAGGAGTTTTGGTCCCATTGACCAGCGTACCAGGAATCTTGCCACCACTTACCCGGACTGCTATATTTCCATTTGCGCAGTTCCGTGGAAGAGACCTCATTCTCATCGTCTTCCAGCTCCAGGTAGGTGTCCATGATCAAGGTACCATCTTCTTTTACTTCTTGCACCACCGCTTGGACCATATCACCGATCCAAAACTGACTTGCATCTTTCCCTTTCACAGGAATCAGCACATCCAGATCCTCATAATCCAGATAAACTCCCTCCGCAGTGATGCGAACAACAGTTCCTTCGAGCCTATCTCCTTTCTGATAGCCGCGCTTGCCATGTGAAGCGGGGAGTACCTCATTGGGTACTTCACTTTTCTTCTCTACAGAGGCTGGCATACTTTCTTCAACTCCTTGTACACCCCCTGCTTCCACCATATCTTCATCTTTGGCCAACGGCTCCGCCTCCCCTGTTGTAGTCTGCTGTCGACTTCCAGCAAACCACCAGTCGGCGCAATCTCCATTTCCTTGAAGGGACCTCCTTCCACTGGGTCCGTTGATTGATCATCTACAGCAGGCATACTTTCTTCCACTGTAGGATCCTTTGGCTCCATGGTTACCAAAGGATAATCACCACCATCGGTCACAGCTGCTCCATTGGCCCCGGTGTGACCTACATCACTTCGTTCCACGCCACCAACGTCAGGCTGCACTGGTGCGTCCACCTGTGAACCTCCATCGCTGGCTACTACGGAGACCTGCGCCCCATTGTTGCAGTCACCCGGAACATGAAACCCCATGCACCTCAACCCGTGCCTCCTCTGCACTCCAGGTTATCTCTTGCGCATTAGCCCACACCACATTGGCGCTCCAGGCTCCTGCCTCTTCCCGCTTGTCAGGCAGATCAACAGTATTCTCAGCTACTCCAGAAGACTCACCTTTTTCTTGGACAGTGGGTCCATTGGCAGTAAATGAGGAACCTCCATCAACCGGCACATCCAGCGTTTTGTTCCCAATTTCTTTTCCAGGAATAACCTCCTGACTGCCAGACGCTCCATCCACCACCAACTCTTCCGCAGCTGAAATACCACTCCCTTCCACATTGGGAATCATCTTGTCCGGCCGTTGCGTCACCCTCAGAAAGCGCTTTGCCCTTTTCCTGATCCAGGTGCTCTCCAGCCATATTCATCTGCAATCCACAAATTTCATCTTCCTCAGGAGAACCCGAGGTCCCAGGAGCTTCACCACCGCTTAGACCGCTATCCCCAACGATAGAGGAAAATTCCCTTTCTACAGCACCATTTACACTACCCTGAGAAGCCTTGACAGACTCAGATGAGGACCTCGGCGTCATAGAACCCAGTTCAGGCATTGGGACAGAAACCTTGTGTTTCCTTTTTCTTTTGCCGAAACAGTATCCTTCTCATCCGCTGTCACCTTTTCAGCAGTGTTCTCGAACCCTTCCGGGCATTCCCACTGAGTCCTCCCAGTGACGATGTCGTAGTAGTACGGCCGACCCATCGAAAAATGCATCTCCCAGACGGCGTCAATCTTAGGCGCCTCACTTCCCTTCAGGAAAGTGTCCGAAGCCAGCTGTAACTGCTCCAGTTGAGCCTGTTCTTCTTCATGCTCCTCCTGGATAACGGCTTCCAGCTCCAGAATCTCTTCAGGATGCATCTCAGCAACTTCCGAAAGTCCCTTCGACGCTTTGTCTTCAGAACCCATTGCAGAAATAAGGTCAACACCACCACCACCACTTGGTTCGTCAGTGATTTTGCTCTTGCTTTTTTCTAACAAAACCACCTCGCCACTCAGCTCAGTCTGAATTTCTTGACTGACCATTCTTTGACTTGAAGACGAAGACGACGCCTGAAAACCATGCCTCATCATCAAACGCAATACGGTCGCTTCTAACACATGGTCCATACCACCAGCTTCATCCCAGGGCCTCTTTTCTCCAGCCCTTGGTGGCACAGAAAAGGCTTGTCCTTCACCTTCACCATTGTCAATTCTGTCCACATTGGGACCCATACCCTCATTGGGGCTTCCAGCAATCATTGATCTTCCCAGCTGTTTCTCCAGCACCAGGCACCGTTGCTTCTAGCACCACTTCTTGAGCAGGAAAACCAGTTGCACCAATTTCAGCTCCACCATTGTCAGCGGCATTCGCAGGGGTTTGGAGCCATTGCTTGGATGAAGACATTGCTTCTTTAAACCAAGCCCTGAACGAAAACAACTTACCGCAGGGAACCGTTTGGGCTCACAACCTACGGGGGCAACCGAAAGGGGAAAAAGAAGAATCTCAACCCTTGGCTGCCTAAATGAACTCCCTGAACCGAAGAACACAACACAGATCCAAACAAGAGCACCCGAAGGAGGGAGGGGGATATCCTTACCAAGGTGCTTTGGGGTTCATAGGGTTCATGGGTTTGGCAGGGTTGATGGGGTGTTTAGGGTTGATGAGGAGTTTAGAGGGGTTGGTAGGCTTTATGGAGTTTGTGGGGTTTGCAAGGTTCTGGGGTTTCTAGGGCTTGTCGGAGATGATGGGGGCTGGGGTAAAGGGTTTACGGCGCTTAGGGGGTTTACGTCAGGGTCGTGGGTAGATGTGAGGCTTGATGTGACCACTGCCTTGAGTGCTTTCAAAATCTCTCAGGAGACTCTCACAGGTCCTTGTTTCTGCACCACGTTTGCCAGGACTGCACTTGAAAGTCATACTAAGCCGCAGTGTTGGCACACCTTCAAAAGCCAGCTGGAGGACTCTGTTCGGCAGTCCTCAAATCTGCCACTCCCAAAGAGTCCAAGACCCCTGTTCTGAATTGAGGAATCTACCTTGCATTGACACCCAGGACCCTCATACGAGTTGTGGTATGTTCCTAAACTAAGGGCATTGGTCTCCCTGGGCCAGCTCTGCTAGCAACGGTGCTCAGTGCTCAGACATTCCACTCGGACAACCGCGGGGTCCAACCTGCATTCCAGATCTTTCCTGTGGGGATGTTGTTGAGACCATACTTCTCCAGCATGTGGCAAGCCTTCATGTTCTTGGAGCTTGCGTTGCCCGCAAGGCACACGGGCACCAGCCCTGCGTCTTCATGCCATCGTCGGACTGAAGGGAGGAGGTCCTCTGGAAAAGCGGATGTGCCACTGGGCCTCGGCTGTTTCGCAAGGCACTGGGGGGAGACACCATGCAATGGTTTTCTTAACCCTAAACCCGTAAACCCCGAAACCCCCAAACCCTACACCCCTAAACCCCTACTCCCCTAAACCCCAAAACCCCAAACACCCCTAAACCCCTAAACCCGTAACCCGAAACCCTCAGAACTCTCAGAACCAACCCTACTTGCATCCCAGGGAGCTGCCGGAATGTGCCACATTTGGAGCCATCAGGCAGCACATACTCGTAGGGCCCGGGGTAGTCGGGGTCCACGGCACAGATGAATCGCGACTTGCACCTTGAACATGCTTTAGTTAGGGTTTAGGGTTTAGGGTTTTAGGGGTTTGAGGGTTTATGGGTTTGAGGGTGAAAGGGTTGAGGGTTTGGAGGTTTAAGGGTTTGAGGGTTTACGGGTTTGAGGGTTGGAGGGTTTAAGGGTTTAAAGGCGGCTTAAGGGATTTCAGGGTTTAGGGGTTTAAGGGTGTAGGGGTTTAAGGGTTTAAGGGTTCAAGGGTTCAAGGGTTTAAGGGTTTCAGGCTTTAAGGGTTTAAAGGTAAAGGGTTTAAGGGTCTGATTCAGAGGCTAGCAGGTTCAACTTTACGTACTCTCGGACCGACAGTTGAACTGAGAAATGCGCATGCTAAAAACCTGGATTCTGATCTTCTTGAGTGGCATGACAAGACCAAGTAGAAACTCGAAGAAGCCGGTAGAACTCCATCTACAGTAACCCCAAACCCTAAACGCCTAAACCCTAAACCCCAAACCCTAAATCACAAACCCTAAACCCTAAACCCCAAACCCTAAACTCTCAGCAAATGCATGCGTAAAAGGAACATGACTGGTTAAGCGGCTAACCTATTCTCCTGTTTAGGGTTGAGGGTTTAGGGTTGAGGGCTTATGGTATACGAGGACGTAGTGCCACACAACATGCGATGTGGGGGGCAGTTGTTCTGAATTCTGGTTACTATTCGAACAAGTATCCCAAAAGGAACAACACTTTGGGAAACCTGCCATGTAGTGCATGATGAGGCCCTCAACTCTACAACAATCCTAAACCCCAAACCCCCACCCCCAAATCCCAAATCCCAAACCCTAAACCCTAAACCCTATAATCCTGACCCCAAACCCTAAACCCTAAACCCTGAACCCTAAACCCTAAACCCTCATCCTAAACCCTAAGCCCTGAAACCTTTCAAGCCCCCCCCTCCCCCCCCCCTCATCAGGGGCACTTGTCGTCTGGAAGGCCAGGGCTGCAGTGGTCATAAGGCCGGAACTCCTGTTGCCGAGAGGCATACTTAAGTTGTAGGGTTTAGGGTTTAGGGTTTAGGGTTTAGGGTTTAGGGTTTAGGGTTTAGGGTTTAGGGTTTAAGGTTTAGGGTTTAGGGTTTGGGGTTTAGGGTTTAGGGTTTAGGGTTTAGGGTTTAGGGTTTAGGGTTAGGGTTTGGGGTTTATAGTTTTAGGGTTTGGGGTTTAAGGTTTGGGGTTTGGAGTTGTTGGCCTTGCCCTTAGGTTCAGGCTCTCGGGTTTAGGGTTTCGGGTTAAGGTTTAAGGCTTAGCAGTTGCCTGGTCAGGGCAGTACGTGTGGGTTCAGGGGGCTCTTTTGGCATATTGGGCACCTCTAAATAGAAGCGTCGTTTTGGGGCCCCAAAGTAGTGCTCCAGCCCTGATTTGTGAGACCCCCGTACGTACTTCAATATAGTCGTCGTATACAATACCGTACATTTCACTGGAGGACGATTTGCAAGGGGATAGGTCACACAGGTCACGCATGAGCAGTACCTGGACTTCCCTTGTCCAGCGTGGCAAAGCACAGAACTCTTTCTTTAAAAGCGCTCTAAATCGCCTCGGCTTCCGGCTGAGTCGTCTAGAACAAGCAGACCAGGATCTTTTGAGCAAGGTCCAGGTGGGGTTTGATGTTTTTGTGCTAACTTATGGGCCTTTCGTAGTTTAGGGCACCAAAACGCAAAACGGGCCTAAACCCTTTCGGAGTGCCCGCAATATGTTCAACCACGCTACAATCCCTAAGGAGTATGGGCTTGCAGTCCAGGGTTTACGGCTTAGGCTTTCTCCTGACCCTCAACCCCAAAAACCCTACCTCCGAAACCTGCCATTTGAGACTAACTGAGTCAGGCCTTCATCTGATATTCAAGGGGCGGCAGCATCCGCGAAGAGTTCCTTCGCTGCCCCAGGAGCAGAGCAGGAAAGCACCACTCGAAAAGGACAATCCCCCCCCCCCCCCCCCCCAAAAAAAATACACATTCACCAGTCTTCACACTATCTACACTCACCAGAAACAAGAAGCTTAACATGTACCCTGTCGGGCCAAGGCTAAGGCCTGTACCATACAGCATCAACCCGAAGAGTCCGCAACTCATACCCTCAATGATACGCCCCAAACCCTAAACCCTAAACCCTAAATCCTAAACCCTAAACCCTATATCCTAAATCCGAAATTTACCCTCCTTTAGTACCAAGAGCTGTGAACAAGTTTGCACCTCGTTGGACTCAAGTTCTCGGGTTTAGGATGTTGGGTTTCGGGTTTAGGGTTTAGGGTTTAGGGTTTAGGGTTTAGGGTTTAGGGTTTAGGGTTTAGGGTTTAGGGTTCTGGGTTTACGGGGACTCAGGGTTTCGCTCTAGGACAAAAACTGCTGCAAGCAGCGTCGGGTCAGGAACTTGGACGTCCACTTGCATCATGTTCGGCACCCTGGAAATCTGCCTCTGAAGCGCTTCCGGGTCGTCGGTCACCTCACTTCCCCAATGCCCATGGGGGAAGGAGAGGCTTGAACTTCCAGATTTGTACTGAGCCTCCCAAACCCTAAACCCTAAACCCTAAGCCCCAAACCCTAAACCCTAAACCCTAAACCCTAAACCCTAAAGCCCCAAGCCCTAAACATCAGAGAAGCAAGGCACCTTGAGGCCGAGACCCTCGGCAACGGACTGCAGCCTCCGGAGCCGGAAAGCATTGCCCCTCCGCACGGCCTGGGCGTACTCCTTGGTGGCCCCCACAAGCGTCTTAGACTAGGGGTGCCCCCTTTCTTGGTGCTTGCGTCTTTTTTAAAACCCTAAACCCTAAACCCTACACCCCAAACCAAAAGAGGCAAGAGAGCAGCACTCGGCCAGCGAGACTCTTCACCCTCCAACACCAAGGCAAGATCTTCTCCAGGATTGGCCGTGAGATTAACCTAGGTTGGCCCGTTTGGGTTTGAGATTTAGGGTTTAGGGTTTAGGGTTTAAATGTTTCAGGCCCGCCGAAGAATACTCCTAAGTAAGCTCCTCTTGACCCCAACAAGGCCACAAAGGCCAAGACATCCCCCAAGCAAGGGCCGAGCAGCTGCTTTGGGTGGGCTGTGGGTCTGGACGTAATTCTCCTTGGTAGCCCAGCAACCACCCTTCTTCGGGTTGGTTACTTTAAATAGGGAACCCAGAACCCAAAAAAACAATAAGAATAATAATTATAATTATAATTATAATATATATATATATATATATATTAAAAAAAAAATGTACCACTGGGCTACCAAGTCTCCCAGCCAAGCCCGCCGCAGGTGCAGAGTCGACTCGGGCTCCCCAGGCAGCATTTCCCCGTCCCCCCGCAGTACATCGGAGCCGTGGCCTTTGCCCCGCCGTCCACCCAGAGCTGGGTCTGGTAGTACACCTGGGTTTAGGGTTTAGGGTTTAGGGTTTAGGGTTTAGGGTTTAGGGTTTAGGGTTTAGGGTTTAGGGTTTAGGGTTTAGGGTTTAGGGTTTAGGGTAGGGGCTTTAGGGGCTTAGGGTTCTTAGGAGCTTCGGGTTTTTTGAGTCTAGGTTTTCGGGGGGGTCTGGAGCGTATCGGGTGCGACGCAGGTGTCTCTTTCTAGCAGGAAACCTGCAAGAATCCAGGCGCGGTGTCCTTCGTTTAGGGTTCAGGGTTCAGGGCTTAGAGACCCACCCACCTTGTGCTCTCCGACCCGGACTGCAAAAAGCGTGGTGCCGCACCAGTAGGCAAACGTGCCTAAACTCCGGGCTTGAAGGGCAAGACAAAACACGAAGTTTGCAAGGAAGCTTGCAGGGATCCATGATGATACCCTAAGCCCTAAGCCCGAAAACCCTAAACCACAAGTGGCCCCCCCCAAAAAAAGGGGTGAGATTCCCAAAAAAAAAACATCAAAACCTAAAGCCGAAAAGCAAAACAAAGCTCACCCAAGGGCAGTCGAAGCACCCTCGGGCTTTCCGGAGGGGTCGGGACGGGAGATCAAGCTCTCAGATATGTCGCGGCCATCCAGGCTTCCTTCAGGCTTAGGGGGTTTAGGGTTTAGGGTTTAGGGTTTCGGGTTTAGGGTTTAGGGTTTAGGGTTTAGGGTTTAGGGGTTAGGGGTTAGGGGTTAGGGTTTAGGATCTAGGGCTTAGGGGGTTTACAGGGTTCTAGAGTTTAGGGGGTTTATGGGGTTTATGGGTTTCGTGGGTTGATAGGGTTTGTAGGGTCTACAGGGTTTAAGGTAGCATCTGGGTGGTTCACGTCGCGGGGCCCTCCTGCCTACTTTCGTGGATTCGGGAACCCCAAACGATGAAGGGGCTTCAGCGAAACCCTAAACCCCTCAAGACTCCTGAAGCAGTGCCACAAGTCAGATAACTGCGCTGAACCCCTAGAAGGGGGCGCCACAACTTAGTGAACCGCCCTGTTTAGGGTTCTGCGCTTAAATTTAAGGTTTAAGGTTTAGGGTTTAGGGTTGAGGGATTAGGGTTTAGGGTTTAGGGTTTAGGGTTTAGGGTTTAGGGTTTAGGGTTTAGGGTGCCCCCTAAGCCCCTACGCTTTAAAACGCATCATGTCGTACCGGGCCCAGCATCCGATGTCGTCAACTTGACCTCCAGCAAGTGCGACCATGGTTGGCAGCAGGTCCTGGAAGATTAAGGGCGTAGGGTTTAGGGTTTAGGGTTTAGGGTTTAGGGGTTAGGGTTTAGGGGTTTAGGGGTTTAGGGGTTTAGGGGTTTAGGGGTTTAGGGGTTTTAGGTTTTTTAGGTTTTTAGGGTTTAGGGTTTGGGCCTTTAGGGTTTAGGGGCTTTAAGGGTTTAGGGGCTTTAAGGGTTTAGGGGCTTTAAGGGTTTGAGGGTTTAGGGTTTAGGGTTTAGGGTTTAGGGGCTTTAAGGGTTTGAGGGTTTAAGGCTTCAAGGGTTTTGAAGGTTGGAGGCTTTAAGGGTGAGGGATTTATGGGGTCTAAGGGCTTAAGGGGCTAGGGGTAAGTTAGCAGGGTTGAGGGCTTGAGGTGCTCGAAGCGGGGCTAATAAGGGGAGTTCAGGGCGCCTGGGGTGGCGGGTTTAAGGCAGCTTCTCAAAAAAGGGCAAGCTTGTGACTCCCAACAGTGAAAAATTGAGACAGGCATGATGTAGGGACTCGAGAGCAGACTCTCACAGGAACAATTCCCCTCTGTAGGATTTAGGGGTGTAGGGTTTAGGTAAACTTGCCACCAAGGTCCATCTGTGAAGCAACCAGCGGATTCACAGTTCCGCCCTTAATCTTCCCAGGCCACCAAAAGATTCCGGGTACTCTCACGCCGCCTTCCCACACTTGCCCTTTTCCGCCACCTTGACAAAACAAGAACTGCACAAATCAAACCCCTAAACCCTAAGCCCTAAACCCTAAACCCTAAACCCTAACACCGAGGTTCGGGGCATAGAGCTGAAGCCTGAACCCTCAACCCTCAACCCTCAACCGCAGCCAGGACGCTGAGTGGGCCCGGGAGGGAGACGGTGGCGGCATTGCAGGGAGTGCATCCATAGGCTCCCAAGGTGCCTTCCGGGGACTATAGCCTGTATAAGGGCTTTTGGGCGTCGGGTGGTTGAGGGTTTAGCGTTCGGGTTTAGGGTTTAGGGTTTAGGGTTGAGGGTTGAGGGTTGAGGGTTGAGGGTTGAGGGTTGAGGGTTGAGGGTTTAGGGTTTAGGGTTTAGGGTTTAGGGTTTAGGGTTTAGGGTTTAGGGTTTAGGGTTTACGGTTTAGGGTTTAGGGTTTAGGGTTTAGGGTTTAGGGTTTAGGGTTTAGGGTTTAGGGTTTAGGGTTTAGAATCCCTAACCCCAAACCTCTAAATCCGTTTTGTTCCTCGGGCCTGACTCATCTTCCCGTTGGAACTCAGGCAGTTGTATCCTGCAGTTCGTCGGACAGTGAGAGGAGGCAAACTCAAGGTAAGGCCCGTTGTCGGAGCTCAGGAGCACCATTGTGTTCTCCTGGGTTTAGGGTTTAAGGTTAGGGTTTAAGGTTTAGGGTTTAGGGTTTCGGGTTTCGGGCTTAGGGTTTAGGGCTTCCTGAACTTCGGGTCTCTTACCCTATGAACACAATTCAGGGGTTCTGCTTTCCAAAAGTGACCCAAAGTTCGACTAGTCTCAGCACTCTGAAGGGCTTAGGATGCAATGCCTTTGGAACATTCGGACCAGAAATTTAAAGAAACTGCTGAATCTACAAGATCTTGTGCTTGAATACCATGGCTAGAGACTCCTATCCTAGACCCTCAGGAGTGAAGCACCGTCAGGAAGTGCTCTCAACACAAACTCCTAAACATAGGAAGAAGCAAGACAGCCGTCAGATGGGGCACCTGCTTCGTGGCCACGAGCTCATCCAGAAGCACACCCACGGCCCAGTCCATCTCGCTGACCATGTCGGTCCAGAAGCGCTGTGTTGGGTCCGACACGAAGAACCGGCTGGGGTTCCATGGCACATGCACCGCAGTGAAGGCATGCTGGAAGAACCAGGGCTTTGCGCCGCCGGCTTTGCTTCGGATGAAGCTGAGGGTCACGTTGAGCTGCCGCGCGGTCATGTTTTCCCAACGAATCGGCTGCTCCAACACCTCACCGCGGCTGTTGAGGACATGGCTGAAGGAACCTTGGCTTGATGAAGACTCGGGTTTCTTTCGTTTTTTGTGTTTGATTTAGTTTGTTTTGGTTCGTTGTTCTCTTTTTGGGGAGATTCGGGGTCTTGGGTGGTTTTGCGAGGAGTTTTTGAGGGGTTTGGGTTTGGGATGGCTTTTGAGGCGTTTTGGGGTGCTTTGGGGTTTGGGGTATGATAGTTGAACTGACGACTTGGTATCGTACGATGTCAAAGGTGAATTCAGGTACCACGCATACGGTGCCTCACGAAAAGTGCTCGCACCAGAAAACCAAATCTCCTGCCTCCAAACCCCCCCCCCCCCCGGCCCAAAAAATATAGTAACACACGGTGCACAACTCTCTACGGGTTTAGGAGTTAGGGTTTAGGGTTTCGGGCCAAATTTGGGGGTTGTTCCTACTGCTTGGAGGACTCAGGAGCACATGTGCATCACCTCCGGGTTGTCAGGCGGGTTTAGCATACCACCATGGCATGGTTCTCCATTGGAGCCCTCCAAGAAGAACTCGACGGAGTCAAAGCCGTGATTCCAGGCGGCATATGCAAAGGGGTCGGTGCCATTGGTGAGGCCCATGTGCCACTTCCCGGAGTAGCCGGTGTCATAGCCTTGCACCATGCAGAAGCACCGCAATGTCTGCAAGGCATGAGAACGTGCAAGAAGCAAACAATGAAAAGGTTACAGGTTTTGAGGCTGGGCAACCCAGCTTCTTGAGCCGTTTTGCGGTGGTCTCCTCAGTGGTGGGTAGGCCTCCCCTCGCGCCTGTGTTGGCAAAGATGCGCAGGTGCTGATCGACGCCCGCGAAGCGGACGGGATCGCGACCTACCAGGGACGCCATCCTTGACGGCGAGCAGATGGCGCGGGGAGCGTAGAAGTTGGTCATGACCATACCCTCCGAAGCCATGCGCTTCAGGCGCGGCGTCTTGAGCACGTGCTTGCGCCCAGGGTCGGTGGGTCGAAGAGGGCACTGCTCGTAGGGAAGGGTGTTGGGACAGATATCAACGTCTCCAAAGCCAAGGTCATCCACCAAGATAAATAAGAAGTTGGGTCTTTGCTGACCTTGTTGGGTGTATTCCTTCTCACCTCGACTCAGCAGGGACGTCTGATCAGAAAGGTCGCAGGCGCCCGCGGCGCAGGGCTCCGAGCTCGTGCCGGCCACCGAACTCGCGAGCAAAAGCATCGCTGCCATGGCCAAGGCCATGGCCACCCTCGCCCTTGCAGAAGGAAAGAAAAAAAGAGCTAAAGGTCCGGCTGAAGCTAGGCCAACATATGGAGCCGAGAGAGAGCAGCCGCGACACTGATCGGAAAACAAGAAGAACAAGACCCTGAAGGCCAGAGATAGGGAGAGAGAGCTGAAGAGAGATAGAGGGATGATCTGGGATTATCATGCATACAAAAAAAGACAAAGACAAAGACAAAGACAAAGACAAAGACAAAGACAGAGACAGAAGACAGATTGACAGAGACTGGCTGGCAGAGATAGACTGACAGAGGTAGACCGACAGAGACAGAGACTAAACGGACGGAGACAGATAAAGACAGGCCGAGACAGACAAAGATAGACAGAGACTTACAATGACGGGGCTGGACAGACAGAGACAGAGATAGGCAGACAGAGCCCGAGCCACAGCAAGAGAAGATCTAACCCCGAATCCGGGGCCGCTTCATCGTCGGATCATTGGGAGTCAGGAAAAATGAAGATAATTCGTGCTATCCTTGATATTACAGATGAGATACCAAAAACCATTCCCTGAATCCGCGAGTTATGTTCCGATAAACCCAGCCTGCGCGAGGGAGCACCATGAAGCTATCAACGCTCCGATGACTGATGGGTTTTAGGGTTTTAGGGTTTATGGGGTTTAGGGTTTTAGGGTTTTAGGGTGTTAGGGTTTTAGGGGTTAGGGTTTAGGGTTTTAGGGTTTAGGGTTTAGGGTTTAGGGGTTAGGGTGTAGGGTTGCAGGGTTTCAGGGGACTTAGGGATCCGGCGTCCTGGGACGCTGAGGATGTGGCAACGCGGGCTCGGCCATGGTTGTGGAGGGAAGGCGGCGCAAAGGGGAGAGTGCCAAGGTGGTTGAAGGTTCAGGGTTCAGGGTTTAGGGTTTAGGGTTTAGAGTTTAAGGTTTAGGGTTTAGGGTTTAGGGTTTAGGGTTTAGAATCCTTTAAGGAATTCCACTAAGAATAACATAGCATTCTCCCTTTTATGATTAGTAAAGATTTCTATGGAAAGATATTAATTCTCCATCTATATCTTCTGCAAATTTAGGGTTGGTTACCGTTGTTGGGTTCAGCACGTCTCTGAAGTACTCCAAGCATGCGCCAAGCAGTACAAAAAAGGCACATGCACGCTGCTGTTTGCGTAGCTGCAGTGGGTCCATCTGGACGCAAATGGCTTCAGGTTCCAAATCTCCTGGCAGCCAGTGGCAGCTGACTCATACAGTCGCCATTGCATCTGGGTGCAGCTGACTTGTTTTAATCCTGCGCGAGCTTTCCCCCTCCTCAGTCTTCGAAGGGGTCTCTTTGAAGCCCGCCCAAGACAGGCGCCGAGCAAGGTTCTGCTCAGAGGCGCGCCTGGAAAGACAGTGTCGAAATGATCGTGGAGCTTCCAGAAACGAGTGTACCCCATTGTCCAAGTGTAGTAGACGGCCCCTGTAAACGGGCCCCCTAGAAAAACGGGAGGAAGTCCCCACCCTATGCGGCTTGTCCCGCAGCACTTTACTGTTCGACGAATTCTTGCTTTTTGTGGCTAACCTCATCTCCAACGGACACAGGATTGTGTAGCTTGAGCATTCCTTAAATGGCACCTGCCCAGAGATCAGCAACCAAGTCATGGTCCGACTTGCAAGTAGCCATGGTCGGCTGAGATTCGATGGGACGCGCCCACAGGACAGAGCAAGGCTGCTGACCTCTTGGCCTGAGTGCCTCATTGCGGAAGGCAGCACGCCTTTGCGCGCCTTTGCTTTGCACCTGCACAGCGCAGCCCGCCGAAGGCAACAAAGCGCTTTGGACGTGTCGGGGCTGACATTTTAGAACGTGCGTCGGCCTTATGATGACAACAGGGCCGAAACGATCAACGCGCAAAAATCTCGTCGCCGGTCGCCGCATCGACAGCGGAGTTTTCTCAACATGCCGCAGAACTGAGGCTGCCACACACAGCATCAACGTCGCGAAGATCTTTCCAAAGGACCTGGAGGCTTGATGTGCAGGATTTGCGTATAGGCCGGGCTGCGATTCTTGGCCGAGGGAAAGCCATGAAAGACGTTCTGAAGCCAAACCCTTAGCCCTTGAACCCAGAATTATCTGCCTGGCTTCAACCCAACCCCCCCCCCCAAGCCAGAAGCCCTCAAGACTGGTGCCATCAAACAGCTGAGCCCCGGTACGGAAGTGCGCGACCAAGGAGTCGCAGACGCAGAGGCCCAGAACCTCTCTCAGAGTCCAGGAGCCAAAACGCCTCTTCGGGGCCTTGGGGCTTTGCGCGGCCATGGTTTCCCCCGACCTGCTTGCCCACGCTGTGGGCGCAGAGCGCACAGAAGGGCCCGTGTGGGCAGCCGCGAACCTGGGAGCTGCTTTGTCAAAAGCATACAGAAAGCCAATCCCACCAAAAGAAGTACCCAAACCCGAGCAAGAAACCAACTCAAGCCGACCCAAACCCTACCTGACACAAACGGTGCAAAAAATCCAGGGCCCCGCTTGTGTGGATTCGCGGGGCACCACGGCGTAGAGCGGGTCATCTGTCAGTTGCTGGCACCTGGGTGTAGCGCAGTGCAGTAAGCGCGGGTTATAAGAGGGGGCGGAGGTTCCATATCGCGCAGAACGCGAAGATGTCGAACGAGAACGATACCGAACTTTCGCTGCCCAGAACGACATCGAAACGCATCGTTTCCGGTTCACTTCCGCTGTGCCACTGCACTGGGGTCCTGGGCGCTCTGAGGCTCCGGCTCGATGCACCAGAAAATGCTGTCCGAGGCTTGCCGCTCCGGGGCGGGGGCCTGCGGCAGCCACGGCCGCGCACATTCAGACGCCGCAAGCCCCGAAGCCCCAAGACTAACCCCAGAAAAACACAGCAAAACAACAGCTAAGCTACAGCTCAACTCCTGCAACCCCCCCCGTGTTCCCAAAACTCAAAGACGCCTCAGCTGCCGCTGCCTGGGGCTCGACGAGGATCTCCTCCTGCGCACACGCGCGAGCGTGCGGGCGCGCGGGCGCGGATCTCTTGTGGATCAACAGAAGAAGCCCTGCCTCGCACTTGGGGATGCAAGCCTCCACAGCACACAGCAATGGGCTTAGGGTTTAGGGTTAGGGGGTTTGGGTTTAGGGTTTAGGGTTTAGGATTTAGGGTTTAGGGTTTAGGGTTTAGGCTAATAGGGTTCAGGGTTTAGGGGAGCCTGGCACCCCAAGAAAGAGCTCCACAGCTCCATCGTGGTATTGAGCCACGGCCACAGCTCGGCCATGGTCAGGACTTGGTATGAACCTTAAAACCTAAACCCTAAACTCCCTAAACCCTAAACCCTAAACCCTAAACCCTAAACCCTAAACCCTAAACCCTAAACCCTAACCGCCCTGGAAGCAAAGCGCTCGGAGATCCCCATGTGTCGAAAGCTTTAGACGGATGTTTGGGGTTTGTAGCGTTTACGGTACATTGCAGCGTTTTTCATGCGGGGGCACGGAAGCTCGAGACCTGAGTCGGCTGCGGCGGAACAAATCTGGCTCGCTGCAAAAGCCAATGCCGCGCAAACATCCGAGAGCAAAAGCACAGATCCGCGTAGGGTTCTGTGCTTGAAAGAAGCTGACCACATTTTGGTCGTGCGCAAGCTTTCCCCCTCCTCAGTCTTCGAAGGGGTCTCTTTGAAGCCCGCCCCGAGCAAATGGAAAGACACTCTCGGAAGAACTGCGCAGCTCTTCCCCCGGCCCGAAGCTTGTGCTGTTCGACGAAGACAACTGCTGAAGCGAACCTCGTGCACGGCTTGGCCGTCTTCGGGCCTTGCATGCATAAGAGTGGATGCCTCAGTCTGTGGGGCTATCTACGAATAGATCAACCTCGCAGTCCTAGACTGTAGGGTAGCCATGGTTGGCCGAGATCAGTTGAGGCACGCCCCCCACAGAAACGAGCACGGCTGCTAACCTCTAAGAGGTGAGAGCCTCATGTGGAAGGCTACACGCCTTTTCGCACCTTTGCACCTTTCCACCGGTGCAAGATGCGGGGCTCTGAAGGAAGCGAAGTGAAGCGAAGTGCCTTCACGGCGTTGACCTGAGTCGCGTCGCATCGCTGGCTGTCACCCGAGCCCAACGAACTGAGGCTCTCACTGCACCGATGCTGTCGAGATCCTTCAAAGGCCTGGGGAGTGTTTTTTAAGGGTCACCCTTGAATCTGGGGCATGGGCCGAGTCAATCTCTTGTTGCAGAAGCTTAGCGGGAATAAAGGCTTGCCTGGCAGGGACGCCACCACCGTGAACACCCCCCAAGCCCCCCAAGAATTCCCTTTGGGTTCAGGGTTTTGGGTTTAGGGTTCAGGGTTGAGGGCAGCACCTCTGAATCAAAAACTGGGCCCAGGACGGAACTCCGTGACCAAGGCGCGGCATACGCAGAGGCCCAGGACCTCTCTCGCGGGGCACGGGCGCATCAGGTGGCCAAGAGTGACAGCACGTGCCCGTGTGTGAGATCAACGTGCAGAGTCATCAAGCGTCCTAAGCTGCGTTCCAGGCATTTGGATTTGGGGGCTTGATGGGGTGGTTGGGAGGGTTTAGGTCCCAAAATCCACAAAGCCCCGAACCCTAAACCCTTAAGAGACCCTCTAACCCAAACCTCTAAACCCTAGGTGCCTCTGGGCTCAGGCCACCCGGCCTGCTTGCCCACGTTGCTGGCACAGCGTGTGCAGAAGGGCCCGTGCGGGCAGCCACGAATCTGCGGCGGCAGCTCTCTCGGAAGCACTGCGATTCTCAGACGAAGCTTCACCCCGGAAACCTTACAAGCCCCCCAAAGTCCAAACAAAGGCGAGGCCCTCAGTGAGCCCATCGCCCTGTGTAGAAGCCGAGGGCCTCGCCTGCGTGGGCTCGTGGGGCACCACGGCATAAAGGGGATCATTCGCTGCCAGCTGTCGGCACCTTAGTTGCGGCTTCGGATTTGGAGGGTTTCCAGGATTTTCGCGTGCTGCTTTTGCAACACTAGAGCTAACACCGGAAATCCTGTACTCTTGCACAGCATTTGCAGTTCCAGATTGGACGTGCTTCCGCCGCTTGCTCAATGAAACGTGCCCGTGCAAAGATGCTCGCCAACAACGACAGCAAGACATGATGCCGAATGAACACTGTTGCTCACCAAAGGAATGAAAGACTTCCCCTAAGCCCTAACCCTAAACCCTAAACCCTACACCCCTAAACCCTAAACCCTAAACCCTAAACCCTAAACCCTAAACCCTAAACCCTAAACCTCTGCCCTAAACCCTAATCGACTCTCTGCAGCGCCTTCGCAACTCTGAGGTCTCCGGCTGGATGCACCTGAAGGCTTTGGGATCCGAGGCCAGCAGCTCAGCTGGGGCCTGCGACGGTCACGGCCGACCCACGAATGAGGGGGTCTAGGGTTTAGGGTTTAGGGTTAGGGTTTAGGGTTTAGGGTTTAGGGTTTAGGGTTTAGGGTTTAGGGTTTCGAGTAGGGTTTAGGGTTTAGGGTTTAGGGTGTAGAGGAAGGCCAACCCACCACAAGCCAGAAACCCGTAGGTCCCCCAAAACCCCACAAACTCCCCGAACACTAAACCTAAACCCTAAACCCTAAACCCTAAACCCTAAACCCTAAACCCTAAACCCTAAACTAAACACCAGGGCCAAAGCTCCGAACCACCCTTTATGACCCTCAGACCCATGAAGCCTCGTCTGCACAGGGTTCGGCGAGGATCTCCTCCTCAACACACACGCGCGCAGCCTAAACCCTAAACCCCAAACCTTAAAACCCAAAACCATAAACCCTAAACCCCGAAACCCTAAACCCTAAACCCAAAACCATAAACCTAAACCATAAACCCTAAACCCTGAACCCTAAACCCTAAACCCGAAACCCTGCAGGGACAGAGGGAGAAGCCCAGCCTCGTACTTGGAGATGCAAGCCTCTGGCAGAGGACTCGGGGATTGAGGAGCCGTTTCGGCTTTCAGGGCTTTTGTTTAAGTCTCTGGGAGCTTAGGGCTTAGGGGCTTAGGGGCTTAGGGCTTAGGGTTTAGGGTTTCGGGTTTAGGGGCAGACTGTGCGCCTGGCACCCCAGGAAGGAGCTCCACAGCTCCGCCGTGGCGCTCAGCCACGACCACAGCTCGGCCATGCTCCGGGCTCGAGACTACGGCTTAGGACGCTTTAGGGTCTTGGGTTTTAGGGGTTTGGGGGCTCAGGGTTGGGGTTTAGGGTTTTGGGTTTAGGGTTTAGGGGCTCAGGGTTCGGGTTTAGGGTTTTAGGGCTTTTGGGTTTTAGGGTTGCGTTTAGGGTTTAGGGTTTGGCGGGAGCCTAAAAGAAAGGGGGAAATTGCAGAAAGTGCTGAGACGGGGAATGCCTTGAAGTCATGAGCTCTGGTTTTGCTTAGGGTTTGGAGGTTGGGGGCTTGTTGGAAGGGTTTTTGGGGGGTTTTCCGGGATTTGGGGTCTTTTGGGGTTGCTTGGGGGTGTTTGGGGGGCGTTTGGAACTAGCACTCTAGCTTGCTGACGGGCTTTCATGCGATGTGCACGGCTGCTCGAGACCTGAGTCGGCTGAGGCGTTCGTTGTTCAACAAAACAACAACATGTCCCAAAGATTTCCTCCTTCGAAAGGTTTGCCCGTCTTAAGGAAGTCTTTTCCCGACGGTCCATCCCCTTGAAAAGATCCCTCCCAGCATGGGCACAGTCAGCATGGGCCAGCACTCCCACAGCATGCCTCAATGCCCTGCAGGCCCTGCAACGAAGTCAGGAAATCCAGCACTTGCGCAGGTGGCAAATCAATTGAAGGCAGGGGACCTGGGAGTCTTCAGGAGCATGCGCTGCCCTCGATCATTGACGCATCCGCGGAGCTTGAAAGAATTCGCGGCCTTCGTGTGCCTCAACACATCGCGGGCAAAGTAAAGCTCCAACTCAACACCCCAAAAACCTCAAAACCTAAAGCCCCAAACTCCCTAAACCCCAAAAAAGCCTCAACGCCAAGAGACCTGAGACCCTGAACCCGAAGACTCCGATCGCCGCTTGGCTTCCAAAGGATCAATCACTTGAAGTCTGGTTTGCTTTTTCGGTTTGGCAGTCAGGATTTAGGCAAAAATTTCCCCGAAATCATGAACTCCAACCATTCCAGCCTCTTTTCCCACTTTGTGTCTGCAAGGCTACATCGGGCGGCGCCCAGGACGTGGCATCCATCAGCCAGCACTTGCCATGCTCCTGTCAGGGTTGTAGTAGCCGTTGTCGATGGCCGGCGAGCACGCCAGCCAGGCGCAGACATCTCCACCCTCCTCGACACTCTTCAACTTCGCGTCGCCCCGGTAGGTCTTCACCATCTCGGTGTCCACGAAGCCCGGGGAGCAGGCCACGCAGCTGAGGCCGGGATGCTGCTGAGCCATGATCTGGCAGTAGCGGTTCAGGCACGCCTTTGAGAAGCCGTAGGACTGCAACCAGAAGCCGCTGCTCAGATGTGGCAGGGGCTGCTCCTCCTGCTCCCGGGCCGACGCCTCGTAGGCCGCCACGAAGGCGCTGCAGAAGGCGGCCATTGCGGAGAGGTCGGAACACTCCAGGAGCTCTTGCCGCCGCTCCTGCTTTTTGACGAAACCGAGTTGAAGAAGAAATCTAAGACGCGCCCTAAACCCCCGTACACCTCCTAATCCCACAGCCCCTGAACCAACAAAGACGTCGGTACATGGACCTTGGCTCCTCTGACATTTTTGAGAGGTTCGCCGTTCCAGCGCCGCTGCTGACGAAGACAAGCCTCCCTGGCGCCTTTTCCTTGGGTTGCTCTTGAGGTTGGGGGGCGTGCGGTTTAGGGCTCAGGGTTTTCGGGCTTGGTATGGCTTTCCAGGTTTGCTCTGGAAGACATTCTAGGATTTAGCGTGTTTGAAATGGCGCTTTGGGAGTAGGTGCTGTTCCTTAGAGTCCCAATCCTCTGTACAAGCCGAGAGTCATCCAGCAGCTCAGGCAAGAGGGCCTTGGTCAGTCGCTGGGCGCCAAAGAGGTTTACGTCCAAGGTCCTTGGATAAGAGGCTACGGAATCGCCCCGGAACCACACAGCCCTGAACCCGGACATCCGCAGACACGCCCTATAAGCCCCAAAGCTTAAGAGCCCTAAACCCTAAAGCTCTGTTTTCAAAAGCCCTTGAGCCCTAAACCCTAAACCCTAGACCCTGGACCCTAGACCCTAAACCCTAAATCCCAAACCCCTCTAACCCATTGTTACAGCCGAAGGAGCAACCTGGCCGCCTCGGGTGGCCAAGGCGCCGGAAACCTCGGTGTCTAGGGCTTGGGTGTTTAGGGTTTGGGGTTTAGGGTTCAGGGTTTAGGGTTTAGGGTTTAGGGTTTAGGGTTTAGGGTTTAGGGTTTAGGGTTTAGGGTTTAGGGTTTAGGGTTTAGGGTTTAGGGTTTAGGGTTTGGCAGGTCCCCTTGAAGACGAAACAACACCATCCCTTAAACTCTGAACCCCAAAACCCGGAATAAACCCTCAAAACCCCTGCCACCAAGACAAAAACAAACAAAAAAACGAACCCTGGACCAAAAAAACAACAGCAAACAAAAAAAATATGAACCTCTACACCCCTCGAACCTCTCTCAGGTCCTAAACCCGTAGACCCAAAACCCCTCAATCCCCCCAAGGGCTTGAGGCTTAGCGTTCAGGGAAACCCCTGACAACCCCTCGAAACCTCTCGAATCCGAGGCCGGAAGTGACAGGGGGCCATGGCAAATCAAAGGCCACGCCGGCGTTGTGAACCACGGAGAGGGCGCGGCCGCCCCGAATCCTGGGAGCCGGCTGCTGCGGCTGTCGGGTGTTTAGGGTTTAGGGTTTAGGCTTAAGGGTTTAGGGTTTAGAGTTTAGGGTTCAGGGTTCAGGGTTTAGGGTTTAGGGTTTAGGGCTTAGGGTTTAGGGTTTAGGGTCTTTGGAGGTGAGTTATGTAACCAAAGCATGGCAGCTGATTTAACATACTCCACTCCCTTTATATTCTTGGAACCCCCGCCATAGGCTGTCGTGTATCATCCAAGTTAAGCTCCTCAACAGCAAACCGAGAGTCTTGGCCACGAGCTCCGCCAACGCCTTGCCTTGGGATGGATAAAGCCGTGTTAAGGGTTGGGACGTTTGGGTGTTTAGGGTTTAGGATTTAGGGTTTAAGGTCTAGGGTTTAGGATTTAGGGCTTAGGGTTTAGGGGGAGAAGGGATTCGACTGAATATTTAGGGCCTGCAAGGGCTTCAGATGGACGCCTTTCAGGGCTTTCATGGTTCACCCTAAATCCTTGTGCTCTTTAGCAACAAAGAAAAGGGTGTGGAAGGAGTTGCAGGCATGAGTACTTGCAAAATGAAGGGCGTAAACCCGCATGTCGGGGGGAAGTAAGCAGCTACTTCGCGCCAAGCCTCTAAGCCTCTAAGCCTCTTTCCTGTGGAGCGTTTATATTCCTTCAAGCCTCTTTAAGCCTCTTTAAGCCACTAAGCCTATCCGGTGGAAGCTTCAATTTTAGCCTCTAAGCTTCTATGCGTCGGATCCTTAGAATTTCGGCCAAGCCTCGTTAAGCCTCTTTAAGCCTTTCTAAGCCTCTATATGCGCATATGAGCCGTAAAAGCCTCTGCAGTGCCCTTTTGAACATGTCTTAAACACGCTCAATGCACTCAAAGGCTCTAAACGGTGCATAAAGCGCTTAGAGCGCCTAAAGGCGCCCTAGGGCGCTAAAGGCACCGAAAGGCTTTAAACGCCTTGAATCGCGAGCCCGCCTCCCCCGCACAGTAAGCCCGCAACCCTCACCGCCAAACCTCTCAAACCCTAGTCCCTCAACCCGACTCTAAACCCTCAGCCTCAACCCCAACACCCAAAACAAAGCCCCCACTCCAAACAACCCCCTAGAAGCCCTCAGAAGCCCGAAACACCAACTAAGCCAGGCAGCAGGACTCCTCGTCGCTGACGTTGCATTCGAGGCGACAGGTCATGTGAAGTAAAGAGAAGATATTTTCTATTGGGCCGTTAGAGTTCATCACCTAACTGTAGGCCTTTAAGCTTTAGCAACAATTGCCAGCATCAAACCAAACCCGAAACCCAAACCCTAAACCCGAAACCCTAAACCGAACTTGCTGTTGGTGCCTGAATTCATTGCCGTGCAATAGTGGACTCTGCAGGTTTGTTGCGGTCGGTATTAAAGCACTTGTCGCTGTTTATTTGTAGAGGGGCTCCGATAAACGTGGTCATGTTTTGTGTTGGTTGCTTTAGAGGCAGCACAATCAAGAATAATATTCAGTTTACAGGGGAGGCCCACACACGCGAAGCCAGAATTGCTTAGATTTTTCGACCCCAGATTTGGAGTCGTGTAAACTGGCAAACATGTGTACAGTACAGGAACGACTTGGTCTCCTAGGACTTGCTGAAAATCAAGCCCCAAAAAACAATCTCGAAACCAAGCAAGTTGGCCTGATGTGGCCTCAAACCCACACGGTCTTGCTTTGTTGCGACACGTTTGTGGCCTGTTGTGGCCTGTTGTGGCCTGACGTGGCCTGAAAACCACACGTTTGTGGCCTGTTGTGGCCTGACGTGGCCTCAAAAACACACGTTTGTGGCCTGTTGTGGCCTGATGTGGCCTCAAAAACACACGTTTGTGGCCTTGTTGTGGCCTTGTTGTGGCCTCACGGCGTATTTTTCCCCGGAAAAATGCATTTGTGGCCATGGGGACTCGGGACCCTATAATACCATTGAAAGGGTTCCCACGCACAGCAGACGTAGGGTAATGAGGCCAGATCCGAAGACCGACCAGAATTTTAATCCAGGTTTTTTCCCAAGTCGCTTATCTTCTAAACTGAACATTGTTACAAGTGTTCAAACACGACCTATGCACTGTTCAAAACGCGGCGCCGAAGAAAAGTTGGCAGCACATAGAAATCACGTGGGGCCCCATGGCTTCACCACTCCTCCGCTGCCCGTCACTGCATCACTTTCTCTCACTCCGTCACAACAGGCCACAAACGTGTCTTTTCAAGCCACGTCAGCACAGGCCACAGCAGGCCACAAACGTGTTGCAACAAAGCAAGACCGTGTTGTTTTAAGACCACATCAGGCCAACTTGCTTGGCTTCACGCACAGCAGACGGCAGAGTAATGAGGCCAGATCCGAAAATTTTCTCACTCTGTGGTCCTTACTTCCTCTTCTCACTCTTACTCACTTTCACTCTCTCTCACTCTCACTCTCTCTACACCTCTCCCTTCCGATCCACGTCTTTGCATGAGAAGCAGAAGGCTGTGCCTGCAAGGCCATCCTGCTTGCGATGCAGACAGACTCGAGGCATGTTTGCCTGCCACCTGGCGTGGACATTGCAAACAGATGTACGACTGACAAAGATGCGCAGCTGCTGAACTGCGGCGTCACAACACACCTGGAGGCCGCTCTCTCACAGACACCTCTGTCACTCTCTCACTTGCTGCTCCAAAACAGACGTCTGTTTGGCTCGTACTAAATTCAAAATGTTGCATGGACAGGTCTAACCATCAGCGGCGCGCAAGTGCCGCAAAAATTAATTGTTTTTTGGGGCTTGATTTTCAGCAAGTCCAAGAAGACCAAGTCGTTTTTCACTTACACAGTTTGCCAGTTACACGACTCCAAACCTGGATCGAAAAATCCAAGCAATTCTGGCTTCGCGTGTGTGGGCCTTCCTGTGCACGTGAGCGCACGGGGGCTTGTCCGAAGCAGGTGCACACTCGTCTTTGCATGCAGTGAGGACTTGGGCTTTGTCCTGGCAATTCTGCTGGTCCGCCAGTTGAGCTGCAGGTCTTTGTCGGTGTTTTCTGTGGATAGGAGGCGCCCTTCAAGCTCGGGAAGTTGACCAACGTGGCTCAACGTTTTCTGCTGTTGCGCAGAGTCGTCTGCTGGACATTGCAGAATGAAAGCTTTTGGCAGGCTTGGACTTTGAATACGCGAGGATACCTGCCTACTGTGCAGGAACGGCTTGTGCTCCTAGCGAATCAGCTGTTGCCGAGCACCCTCATTGGGGGACAATGGTCAGGTTGTGGGGCTGGTGAACGGATGCCACAAGTGCATTCGCGCACGCTTGGACATATTTTGGCGCTGTCTCCAATCTCAGTTTTTGCGGCAGTTAACGCGCCGTTGATGGGTCAGACCTGTCTATACAGCATTTTGAATTTAGCACCATCGACCCTGGTCTTTGCCAGAGCCAAACAGACGTATGTTTTGGAGCAGCAAGTGCTTGCGTGTGAGAGAGTGACAGAGTGTCTGTGAGTGTGTGAGGATGAGAGTGAGAGCGAGAGCGAGAGCGAGAGGCCTAACAAGGCCTTAAAAACACACGTTTGTGGCCTGTTTTCCCGCAAAAATGCATTTGTGGCCATGGAGACTCGGGACCCTTTATACCATTAAAAAGGGTTTCAAGAGATTGGAGACAAACTTGGCATCCGAAAGCCCTCAGATGCAGTTGGCGTCTGGACTTAAGTAAGCGGTCTTTTGTTGGCTTCCCGCGATGTCCGCGTGCAACCCCAAAAAAGCACGTGCGTGTCAGCGCGAAGTTCATGCTCACTAGGCACCCGAAACCCACACAAATATGTGCTGTTGGTCGCCAAAGTTCATAGCAGTGCACCAAGTGCTCTCAGTGGACCAGGTGGGTCTGTTTAGGTGTTGAGTTGCGTTGTATCTGTGGCAAACCTCCAAAGTAGACGGTGTTTGTGGAAGATTGTGGCTGATCAGTGATGTTTTTGTCATGTTTTGGATTAGCTTGTATAGGTTTGTTTTGCTTCGGAGTGATTGGGAATCCGTGTGATCCCATCCTCGATGGTTTATGCCTCGTTGATTTCCAAGGAAATCATACGAGTGTGTTTTTGCCCAATACGCTATTTAAAGTGAGTGTGCAGTGTGTAGGAACTTCGTTCTGAAGCTGAGTTTAAAGCTCACAAGAGAGAATTCGTTTAGTTTGTGCACTTCGTGACTTTTGGCTTAAGTGGCTCTGACTGTGAAAAAGAGAGAGTTGTCCGCACTTGTGTGAGAGGTCAGGGTTCGTGCTTTCAAGGGAAAAGGTACCAGAGGGGACCTTCGGTTTTTCACGTGGTAGCGAAGCTTG